CTGGATGTCAATTGACAAATTCTCGTGACATATATACATGACAAATCCTGCCGCTAGTAAAGAGAGATACATGTAATAGAAATGCTGATAGAAAGAAATAGTATTTGGCACCTGGCAGAGTTCTTGAAGTATATCACCAGACAAAATTTGAAACGAAGAATAATTCAAAATTCAAAACACAAATTCCATTACAATTGACAAAAGTGCCTATACTTTTCTCATTCACTGTTTTACTAGTAATTAATATATTATTATATTAATAATGATTTTGATAGAAATGTTTTCGTTTTTTTAATTAATCGTTTACTGTTTTTTCTGTGATTACATAACACGCATAATGTAGTTATCGAAACACAATTAAGTTGCAAGTGATAGTACATTACAAATCCTTCAACTATTAGTGACCAGTCCCAAGAAATAATTTAAGATTGTCCTAAAATGCGACATTACTCAATATTCGCATTGTTGATAAACATCATGATAACAAAACATGAGGATTTCGTAGAACATACCTTCTGAGACTTCGAAAAGCTCTAAACACTCTTAGAATTCTCAAGCTTCTGCTGCTGCCCAAAAACTTCAAAGCTATGATTGAAATGAAATGACAAAACGGGGTACATATTTCAGGTTATAGTTATAGCATGGGAAATGAAACCAACAAATCAGTCACAACATGATTCTAATGCAAAAATGGAATACCATCTTTCGATGCTGTAATGGAGTAAATAAACAGCGAAGTCTTATTACTTGTCCCACCCCAATATCGTCTCCTTTTAGGTTCTCACGGCATAGATATTTTGCCACATAGCTGAGGACATAGGCTTTCTTTATTGTGAATTTTAAACTGTGTCAAAAATGCAATTTTTCTTTAACATTGTGTTCTTTGAAATTGTTTTAATATAGCAATTTTTGAAAAATATAACTGTAACAAAAATACGAATGATATGTAATTGTACCATGAGAAAATATCTACGTGATTGTACATAATAAACCAAAAACATTGTTGTGTGATTTATTGAGTCCCATTTTGCGATCTAAAACGGCAGAATACTTACTTGGTCCAAGTATAAGAGCCGCAATGATGACAAAGTCCAGAATATTCCAGCTGACTCGCCAAAATATGAAGAAATTATAGTACCACTTTAGTAAGAGTTCACAGACAAATATTGCCAGAACAGAGTTGTCGAGGATGGAGAATAAAGCAGCATTCTCCTCCGACTGAAATCAAAACAGCGTCACCGAGAAAAATTAGTTGAACTCGGTTATTATTGTCCTCCCGTTATGGTGGCAAAACTTTGAGACGGATGTGGATTCATGCATTAATAAATAGTTCGGTTGTCACAACATTTTTTGTAGTACTTTTTCAGGTAAAACAACTGCAAAAAAATGAGTAGTGTTTAGTAGGATGATTAACCACAAAATTGAAGGCTGTCTGTGACATGGGTACTATTGCGTAAAGAGCAAAGATCTATGAGAAGGAGATTGTGGATATGTATGTATGTATGTATGAATAACGAAGGTTATAGACTGGAGAGTGCGCACTATTTAGTTCAATATGCTCCTTGCTGGTGAACATATGTCAACAGAAGCTCAATCTGAACACAGATTGCTGCTCAGACTAAACAGATCCCACACCTCGATAGGCGGGTAACAAAAACATTTTTCCAGACCCATTGTTATCGGCACAGAATCCAGAAGTATTGCTCAACTTCAAACAAATACTCACAAGTGTTTCGTCTGTCTGCAAACCAATGAGAATAGCGTTGAACACTATCATTACTAGAATAAAGAATCGAAACATTTCACTTTCTACCATCCTGCCAACTAGTTCCTGATGAAATAAAATGTCATCATGTCAGCATAGGAAACATAACTAGGAATTCTCTCAGATGAAGGGGGAACCGTAAGTAAACATTTACTGCAATTGAACTCAAAACATAAACCTAAACAAATTAAATGTAAAAAATGACCTAAATCGCCAAATTCCATTTATAGTAAAATTTACCATTCGCATTTTTTTGCATGGTTTTGTATCTACATCCCTCTCAGTGCCTTTTGTGTTATCATTTTCCATGTGGGTAATATGGATAACATATTGAATCAGGGAAGGATTGAGCCAACTCGAAAATGGTAACGTGCCAACTTAAAGGGCGTTGTCGTCGCGTCACGCATGCGCGAGGTATGGGACTCATGATGGCGACAACAAAGATAGCGACTTTGATCAATGAGTGTTATCAACACAAATGTCGCACATGCGCGGCGCAAAGACCCCGTTCTTCAGTTTACTGAATGTGAAAACACTTGAGCCGTCAGTGAGGGGCCGTTCCGGGGGCCGTTATTAATTAGGTTACTCCGCCAACGTTTCGAACGTTTTTACCAACTTGTCACGCTGTTTTCTATCAATTTTAAAGTCAGTCAGTTCACCTGAGAGACGAACGCTTCTACCCTTTCATCATCTTGGTCCACAATATCGTTGAAATCCTCTTCGTGAACTTCATCTTTGAAAACATCCGTCATTGACGCCCCCTGTTTTAACTACAAACAAAACAAGTACATTCATGGCGATATGGTGACAACTGTATACGATAAAATAAAATAAGAATCATAGGAACACATTGTGCGTAGTAATGTGACGTGTGCGTGCCCTGGCTTTGACGGTTACTGGTCCACTCAACACTGCATAGGAACGACTATCATGGCGCAATCAAGCTTTATGGACATTGCGGAAAAACAAATTGACTGCAAAAAACGAAATAAATAGTTCCTTGTTTCCGGAGTTACTCTCAATATAAACTTAAAATTGAATCTTCTTACCTCAGAAGCGTCAAATGTAAACTGTCGGTGAATCTCCCATCTAAAAATTAACAACAACGTAAATATCAGAAATATGATGTAATTTTCAACTGAGTATGTTGGTAGAGGATCTTTATATTCTGACAAGACGTTCAGGGTATCGTGAGGGGTATTTCAACGAACTAATACACTTACTCGGATGAAAGATTTTTTTTCTTGTCTTCAAGGGTTCTCATCACCCACGTGTTACTGAGCTGTGAACATACACAAATGAATAATAGTAACTTTATTACGTACACAACTGCACCATCGGTGGGTGCTGTATGGTAAGGATACAGATCAGAAAAAAAAAACACAAATAAACAAAAAACAACAAAAATTTCAAAATTACAAACAAAACAATTTGCATAGACGTCATTGGTCGAACTCGTCGCGGCGGCGATGTAAACTCGGGCAATATGCCAAGGAAACGTCAAAATGTGGGAGCTCATTCCCTTGAAATGTATGGACCATGCATTCACTGTTGCTTTCATTTTATAGTGGAATACAAAATAGGTCAAATTCAAGATTAAATGTTTACGTAAATACCAATATTGCGCATACGTATTCTGATCCGTATGAGCGAAGACGCCCCAAACGGTAGCTGCAGTCCATGGTTTCGCGTTAACACCACGACGAACGAAATAACCGACAACGAAACCAAGTGAGCTACAGAACTGCAGCTACCCAAACGCGTGATTTATCGAGAGTGAACGAAATTATCGTTTCCACGCAATTCAGCAATTGTTAGTGAGTGTGACGAAACAGTTCATATATCGCAAATGCATGTCACTACATCTATGTCTAATGTGACGTACCTTGCGAACTCTGTCCACGAGAGAGGGTCTTCGAATCCCCAGTGCAACAGTTTCACCGGCTCCCCCATCTCCGCTCAACAATGTGGAAAAAATTGTCGATCTTCGACGTGCTCCTTGAAGCTTATCGGTTTGTCCGGGTTTATCTCCCATCATAGTAGGAAGTGGTCGAAGCTCGTCCTGTTCCTCTTCTTCACATTCTATTGCTGGCACACTGTCAAGTGGCAATTCTATTCTTGTGGTAGCAGCCATCTGGATTGACTGAAAACTGGATGTTACAATAAGTAATGTACCTCTGGTTACACACATTCATGTAATCTTGTCTGGATGATTGTTGTTTTTTTTTGTTTTTTTTGTGGGCATTATTTTCAGGGGGGCAATGGTTATTTTCGTTCAACGTAATTGCAATATTTTTTTGTTCGTACAACGTAAATTGAAAAAATAAATTCCGTAATTCTGTAATCACAGGCTAGACGTACAACGTAATCAATCAAGTATTTTGTTCGTACACTGTAAAATGTGACATTTTTCTCGGTACGTACAAGAATTTACATCTAAATAAAAAAAGTCGTAAAGAATAATCCAGGGAAATTACATTTTCGAAACTGTAAAACGACTAGATGACACAATCCACTGCAAAATTCAATTTTCACTGTAAATTGTAAAAAAAAAAAAAAACTTTTATTTCCCGTAAAACTGCACCAGCGGAAACTTCGAGTAGTAGCCAGAAGAGCCGTGCGTATATGCGAATTTTCTTATAATACAACTACTCGCTTTATCGAAAGCTGATCGACATTGTAAATATGGTTTTCCAGTTTACACCTATGACGTATGAAAAAGTGGCATATATCAAAATGACACGACATTCAACATTGACTTCACAGGAACTGCTAGCATAACTATAAACTCTTGGTAATAGAATCATACTTACCCAAACCTATATATCTGTAAGTTATGTTGAATCAAGTGTGAACCATCCCTACAAAACTAGAGTAAATAAATCGCTAGTTAGCTCGCTGGCATAGCACGCGCCACATGGAACGACCCTAGGTGTCGTCATGACTCGACGGGCGCGCTCGGGTACTGCGTAGCACGCGTATGGTAACGCGTGCGTCAATATTGCGTGTGACCTCGTCAGCTATTATTTCTGATGAACGAAGTTTTAATACATCTACAAATAAACGCGTCTGCACTAACAAGCTTTATAAATTACGTTGTGCATAGTCACATTTAGCAAAATAGAAAACATTTAACTGTTTTCTGCAATACGTGAGTGCGTCGATCCACAGCTTTCTAATCGCTCCATTCTGGAATGCATTCCAAAGTTCGATTCCATAACGGCTACAGGTCATATGCGCACACACCGTTTCGGCAGTGGGGGACAAAAAAACTGTTTTAACTAGCACAAATTATATCAATAATAATGAATCGTGGTCACCATCGTGCTTACCAGCCAATAACACCGGCAAATAACAAACTGTTGAAAAAAAGATGGGACCAGAGTCGATTCGATACCCATAGGAGAAAGGTACGCAACGGTAAGTGGGAGCAAATTACGGCTTTTAATGTTCTGTGAATAATACAGAAGTACGACATTTATTCTGGATTTAATTTTATGAAACGCCGATGATGAAGAACAACTCATATCCTAAGCAAGCTTTGAAGAGTCAGCCAGCACTGTTTTACTGTTTTAGTTTTAACTGTCGAGGCACGTGGAATGTTTTTTGTTTGTTTTTACTGCAATCGGGATAAGCCGTAAATTAGTACATATATTACGACGCTTTTTTTTTTCATTTCAGCCAAGCCTGTAATAGACAACAAACCGCCCCATATATACATGCATTTACAGTTTAAACTCAAGAAACTACAGGTAAGACGCGAGTAATTAACACTTTTATTTATTATTATTGACATTAATTTACCGTTGTATGGGGCCGTCGTCTTGAATACGATTTGAAACTACAATATGCGCACTATACATATATACAAAGTAATATACACACCACTGTGCACTGAGCATCGAGACTATACTAAAATTGGTGAAAGTTGCTAGAAGCGATAAACATTATTTATTATAACCAGACTATCTCAATGATAGATAAGAATATGTAAATTTAATGTTTGTTAAATAATCTTTATTATTGATGAACGTAACGGATAAGCGGGACCTACCGTAAATAAACGGCGGTGACCATTGACACGAAGAACAGTATATTACACAGAAGGGGTTAAAAAAACTTTATTTATTTTATTTTTTTAGTACTCCCTGTGTTATTAGGTGACTTCGGAAACGCAATTATTTTTTCGTTTATTTACTGGACGAATATAATCACGTATACATCGACATGGGCGGATACAGGATTTTTTTATCGGGGGTCCAAACTTTAAAATCGAACCCTCCCCTAGATCCGCCACTGATCGATGCGTCATCCGAATCGCACGGTTTCACTAAAGCCGGCCATTCATAGCGGGCCCACGAACGTTGAGGCGTCGGCCGAATAAATGGTCCTTGGCTGGCGAAGATGACATCGATGTGGTCCAATTTGTCCAAACCTACAATGTAATTATAGAAATATACATACAAATGTACACAGTCCGGCACCAACTTTTTGGCGGGAAAAATATACCTTTCAACGGGGTCACGTGTGTTGAAAATGTTTGGCAATCTTCATCATGATCACGTGACTGTGTTTTGATTCATGTCTACATACGTTTGGCGTATATTTTTTTTGTCGTAGATGGAAGAAGAACGGTTAGCAACCATCGAGCGAGACAACCGCATTCTTTTAGAAAAGATGTCCCATATCATGAGAACCAGAGGTCGGGTGGACAACAGAAATGCTTATGAACAAAAAAGGTACTGAATCATATTATACTTACACAGTCAGACAATAAAATACTATTATACGGCTACAGGGAACGTTCAAGGTGCCACGTTTCGGTATCCAAGTATGACCATCGAATTTTATCAGCACCGCCATTGCCATATCTAATTTTCTAATGACGTGATTGAAAATGTTTGTCTTTTTGTAGTTTGAATCAGACAAAACGTCAAAGAGAGCTACTAATCATTACACACGAGAACCAGGCCATTTTGAGACGTATTCTAATGAAAGAGGCGCACTATAACCATGTCAAGTGGGAAGACGAATGGAGTGTAGGTGTTTTGTACTTTCAGGTTGTGTCTTTCTTTTGTGTGCGCTGGATGGCGTATGGTATAGATCACTTAAATATTCTACCAAATTACGGGTACAATATACGAGTAGTTATGGAAATTTGTATGTAAAAGTCATGCAAATTATTGTGTAATATATGCAAAAATATACGTTCATGCCAGAAAGTGATTCGAGATCGGAACATGGTTGCCACCCCATCGAATAAAGTATCATGTCACTAGTGACTAGTACGCATGCGCAACTAATGGTTCTTCAAATGCTCGGGTTGATCAGGGATGGTCCCGGGGGATGGTCCCTCTAGTCCCTGGGGTCTAGTAACCCGGCTGCAAATGTTTAGATTCGTAATTTACTTTATCTTCACCAACTTCCCCTTAGGTAAATAAGAAATACATGGCGAATATTGCAAAATATCCTTACTGGTATGGCGGAATTCATGAGAAACCGATGAATGAAAAAATCGATGACCGAAGAAACTACAGAAACGCGACGATGAGTAATATCAGTTGTGCGCTCTCATCGTTGAAAATACAAGTACCAACTTATGTATGTATCCCGTGGGGCGAGGGCGTGAGGCAAGGCTGTTCATATATTTGTAGTATTTTGATCTTGACATAGCATTTAAAAACTTTCTCCTTTTTCCTTCTTTTCGTTTTCAGAATGGCAGTCTGCCTAAAACGTTCAGCAGGTACTCCACACTCAGTGTTACGACGCATTGATGCAATTGCTGAATAATAAATAGTTCAGTAGTTGCTCAAATGCTCTTCAAATGGGACTTAAAACTCTCTAAAAATGACAAAGAAATAAATCTTCTGAGCATCACAGTGGTTTCATTTGTGTTTTGTTGTACGGAAATGTTCGCTACAGTTTAACAGCTTTCCTACAAAGCGCGCCCTCAAGTGACGAAGCGCTTTTATAACGTTCAAAGCGTCGATATCGGTTTGATCTGTAGTCTTCCATAACAATTTCTATTTGAATATATTTTAAACGATTACACAACCAAACACATTATATAGTCCATTTGAACGTATTGCCTTCATCCATATTCTCAGGGGTAGATATCCGGGTATTTTCACTGGTTACGGCCCGATGTTCAGAAGGCCCTATGAAAATGACTCCATTTGGTAAAACTTCCTGCTGATGTTTGTACAGCAGGGCAGCATTGGCCAGCATGTCTAATTTAATTTGCTAATGAGTTCATTAATTATTTAAATTAAAAAGCAAAACTATATCTCTGATAGCTGAACGTTTAGTACATCTCTATTAAATTAGGTGATATTTACAGTTCAAAATATATTAGCAACAAATATACAAATATTAGATGTAATAATTAAATATGCAAATGAACGTGTTAATTGAGTCGAAACTCGAAATTGTAGAGTGCATACCTCATCAGGTATTAGCGAAGAATGGTTCTACCAAGTTGGGTCACATTTGGACAAGATATTTTAAAAAAAAATGCTTTATCAAATAAGTCTGACGATAATCTGACTTGAATCGAATACTTCGCCAACTCCACGCTCGTCACAATCAGTTTGTTTCTTTATCTGTTTGTTTGAAAAGAAAACATTACAGTGACCCCAATAAACTAAAACTAATTATATTATTGATCGCATAGGCTTATGCTTATTTTCCAAGCAAAACTCATTTTTCTAGGGGGTCAATTTCCATATGGACATTTTAACAGAATTAGCTACAATTGTCTTAAATATTTAAATATCCATCTTTGGATTATATTTTCAAATGTGCAGTTCGCTATATTTCACAATTTGTATAAAACAAAACATTGAAATGTATATATAATCTTCATACAAAATAGTGACAATTCAATTAGGAGATATTGTCGCAAAAATATCTTCGTGATAGAATTTAGACCAACCCAAGTAGATTGCACCATTTTTCTGTATTGTTTTTTTTCGTTCAGTTTCTTGTTTCAATTTTTATTGGCCTCGTTTTTTTTTTATTTTTCTTCCTCTCATTTTTTTTCTTTTTCATTTTTTATTGCTCTTGTTTTTTCCTTCTAATTTTTTTATTTGAATGTTTATTGGCCTTGTTTGTTTATTTATTTTATTTATTTATTTTCCAGTCGCACTATTCTTTTAAATAATATTTGGGGATAACCTATACCAAAGACCTAAGAGAACTACATAGTCCATTAAACATTTAAAGGTCTTGCCTCGATTTTTTCAATTTTTTTCTCAAATCTAATTGTCACTGATGGCAGAACGATTTACCGACATCTGTTGAATGTATATTTTCGAGGAGATGTAAATACTGCGTTAAATATAATTGTTTTTTTGTTATATAAAAAATGTTGGCAGAGGAGGCGTAACAAATATTTTTCAATTCTTCTGAACATAGGGCTGTCACCATTTTCACCGTCTGGCAACCATCGCGGTGAAAACAAAGGCCGAAAACTCTGAGAAAACGGTACTTTGGGATGGTTGTTGAGACTCCCCTGAACAGTGTAACAAGATTAGCCCTGCGTGCGTAGCATATATAAATTTGGTTGTTCAGTTTTCTAGAATTTAGCTATTTTCACGGGCTCTTCGACCAGCGTCCCACAGCAGCTCGCGCAAAGCCCATAGAAATGCATGGTACAGTGGTGCATGTCTTAGCAACTTTGAACATCTTGTGACGTAGCTCCGCCCGAGGATACGTCATTTTGACGTCACAGATGCGTCCTGTCACTAGAGAGCGTAGTTTATAGAAATTGTGTATTGTCAGTTTCGACCTATAACTACGATATCAACCAGGTAAACATACATAAAGATTAAAAAGGAACGAAATAATTAGGAACAAAATGTTTTATAAGTTGAGTTGCGCGGCACGGGTGGCCCTACAGATGATGTAATACAACACTATATGAGAGTTTACGAACGTTTTATACCGATAATATAACCATTGGGAGAACTATTATAACCGAAATCCTCGTGAGGTTACATATTGCGCCTACTTATCCGTGCCCCGTACTTACACTCACGACAATGTAACAAAGAGGGATGCGATCAGAATTGAAATGATGGTAAAGACTTGTGAACATACATTCAAAGAGACAAATGGAGACACCCGGCGACTTCTCTAATAAGTTATATTATGAATATATGTGTCTACAGTAAGAACTAGTGCTCCATTATTCTTTATGGACTAGCCGTATCCAGTCCATAAAGGTTTTATCATATACCTTATATGAAAAAAAAGTCTTTAGTTATGTTATTTTTCGCTCGTCTGGCCCAAAAGAAAACCTATTCGATTTCACCCGGGTTTCGATACGGGCCTTTTTACTGGTGCGGATTTATACGGAGGATTCTAAATGACGCAAACGCGTCAACATCTCTCACACGACCGGTACCACATGACGTCAGTGACAGGGATCTATAGACAAACCACAGTCACTTGGGGGCTGAAAATCAATAAATACTAATTTTCACAAAAAAAATCATCCGCTATACGTATATAAA